AAAAAAAGAACAACAACAACAAAACCTCTTAAGATTTTTAGTGTAGGAAGAAAATAACCAACTGCTCTTCAAATTATGGGGTTGGTTCCATGTTTTGAAAGTCATCATCTCAGTTGATCTCTTAATGAGATGTCTGTGACTCTGAGGGGAAGGTCGATAAGAAGTAAGGGCTTTTCATCTCATCTCTCTCTTCTCAGCTAACCATCCAGCTGCTTCAAGACAAATTTAGGACCCCGGCCCTTGTCCACCAGGCAAAGCACTCATCATTTTAAGACTGTAATGAAAAGTTCCTCTGGTTTTGTTGGTCTTTGGAGAGTGATAGAATATGGAACTCATTTTGGTGGTGTTTGTTCCTTTGTTTTCCGGCAGTTCACATTTCCCCTGTTGTATTCATTTCTTAATTATTATCTGTAACATTTTGGGTTTTTCCTGTTCATGTTCAAATACAGAATTGAATCTAGATGTCTGAATAACATTGAATAAGGACTGACAACAATCATAATTCCCTCATTACTAACAGAAGGATGTGTTTTTATGGTAGACATGGGACAGGGATGGGATAAATATAATTATTAATGTTTTATATATTTTATCTGCTAGGAATGATTCTTCTTAAGCTGTTGTGAAAGTACAAAATATACGTGTGATGGTTGACTGTATCAACACGGATAAGAAATGGCCCCCTAAATTGGCTCAGCATAGTTCTGAGTATGGAAGATCCGCCCTAGGGAGCATCATCGCCAGAATAATACAAAAGGGAAATGAAAAAGGAAGGATTTGCTTCTTTTCTTTGAGGAGCTCCAGTCTTTCCCCTTGGATGTTGTCTCCTGGCTTCTGTTGCAGACTCTTCAACTTTCTAGGGCAGACCCTTTGGTTTCCTGATACAGATTCGCACCGGACACTACAGTGAGCTCCAGACCTTCACCAAGATCCTTCAGATCTCCAGCAGGCAGACAGCCCTTTTGTGTTCCTCCACACCTGACTCTGTGGGAGGCCACTGTAAGCCTACCTTGTAAATTCTTATATATTTACATATATTGTATTAAATCTGTTTCTCTATTAAGCACTGACTGATACAATATGTGATTCAGATGTTTGGTTTCTGTGACTCCACTAGCACTTTTTTTGGTAACATGCACAGTGCAAAAATTCAATACTTTTATTAGGCTCATTCCCACTTGACATGTCTTTTCTTTCAATTTTTCCTTCTTTGAATATCTTTGCCCTAGGCATAATTCAGTCTCTACTCTCCTCATTTATACTACAGAGCACCCTTTTTCTTCCAATTCACCCCCAGATTTCTCACCACCCTATCCAACTAATTTGTTGCAAGGAACTTGGGCCCAAGGCACAATTCCACTGTACCAAAGCATTTCCTAACAAAGTCAGTCTCTCCTTTTGAGTAACATTTCCTAACATTTCCTAACAAAGTCAGTCTCTCCTTTTGAGTGATTTGGTCCTCCAAATGATCTTTGTCAAGGTCTGGAGACATTTTTGGTTGTCACATCTACAGGGAGGTTACTGGCATCTAGTGGAAGGATATAGATGCTGCTGAAAGTCTTACAGTGCACAGGATAATCCCCCATCACAAAAAATTATCAAATCCAAACTGTCAATCAAACTTCTGTTGAGAAGCCCTGCTATAAAGAAATTCTCATTAGCTGCAACAATCAGTGATATTTTCTACTCTGCTACTATCAATTCTTCGCTCTGAGTTACCTTTTAATGTGGGATTCTTATTTTTAACGAAATCATGCTTGATGGCATCTGAGTTTGAGTTCTCTACAAATTAGTGTGACCTGTGTTTGAGATATAAGATACTGAGGATGTCTCTCTATCAATGAAAGAGGGAAGAAGCAGGGATGAGCAAGAGAGGAGCCCAACAGAAAGAACCTTGACAGAGCCTATGATCCACGGAGAAAGCCCACCCGCCTTGGCCCTCACTGTGTAGAAAAGGCTGGTTTTTCAACTGTAAGTTGCTAACTAAGCAAAGGATAGCTGCTCTGGTAGGGGATAACCTCTTGTGAGGTACTTTCTCCCTTACCCACTTTGTGAGGGCCGACAGCTGGCAGCATCCACTGACCATACTCCCCAGTGGTGGATCACAGGTTTTCCTAGGTAGGGAGGTTTGGATTCACAAATGCTATCTGTGAATTCCTAGAAATGGAATTGCTGAGAGAGAGCATGGGCCTTTGAAACACACTCAAATTTCATATTGGCAAATGGCCTTCCAGAAAGATTGTACTTCTTTCTCCCAACAGTTCATTTCATTGCTAAGGCATGAAAAATATGATACCTGAAATGTACTTCAACTTCTTTTGGATGACAGAATTTTATTATTATGAATATTATCTTAAACTCCAAAGGCAGGTACCTTTCTCCACAGACCTGTAAAAATCTTCCCAGAAGGACAGAGTACCTCAATGATAAATAGTAGAAAATAAAAATTATCTTTGGGTCTTCTGAGTTGCAAACTTCCAGCATTACAGAGACTGAATGATGGCTATTACCTAAGTTGACTTAACATCTGCAACATTTTACAGCCTTTCCATATAAGTGGTTAAACAAATATATCAAAATTCTTTTTTTTCGTTTTTATTGGTACCAGGGATCAAACTCACGACTACCTGCTTGCAAGGCAGGCGCTTATGCCGCTGAGCTAAATCCCCAGCCCCCAAAACTCCACTTTTAAGAAAATACTTGATGTGCATTATTGAGATAGAGATCAAAGAAAGATAGCCATCATTTACTGTCTACTCCATGATATGCAATGTCCTGGATTAATTTAATTTTTACAAAAATCCTTTAATTATTATTTCCAAAATTTCAAATGAGGAAACTATAGCTCAGAGATTATGGCAACTTGGAAACCTAAGTCATTCAGATTTCCAGACCTGCGGGCTTCTTAACATCCTGGGCAGATATCCTCCAGGTTAAATGGCAATCCTTATGAAGCCTGCAGCGTTCCTTTGAGGCAGACTGAGAATGTAGAGGATTCAGTGTCTGTCAAGACTTTTAAAAAAATTTTTATAATATCTAGCACTTTACATGTACAAGGTATTCACTAAATATTTAACAGCAATTCTTGGATAGGCAAAGAAAAAAAACTCAGCTGTTTTTCTTTTTAAAAAAGTTTGTCGGTGCATGTTTGCAATACCTAAGGCTTTCACTCTTCACGGGAAGCTGGTGCATGTACAGAACACATCTTGGTTCTTTTTTCTTCTACTTTCCTTCCATCTCCTGGTTCCTTCCCTTCCTTTTGCAAAAGATCTACCTTGCTGTTTACTTTGGCCTTTTATTTTGCTCTTATTCCATCCTCTTGGTGTTTGGCCTGATTGGAGTGTTAGGCTGGAGGCAGAGACACTTGGGTCTATGTCTTCCCACTTCAGCAAAAACAACTGTATGCCTGAACGTTGCCAGCTCTTTCAAACAGATCCACTGATTACAGACAGGGCCAGAAAGAGAGAGAGAGAAAGAGTGAGAGAGAGAGACAGACAGACAGACAGTCAGATGAAAGAAATAAACCTACCAAATAAACATAACTCAATCACCCTATCCAGATGGTTTTTATTCAGAAGAGTAAATAGATTCCAACCTGGTCTTTAGCTCTAACTTCAGGGAACAGGAAATACAGAGGAAAGAAAAGTATGTTAAAGACACCACACAGAAGCACAAAGCCAAATCCAGAAGGCAGCCCAGTCCTTCAACAGGACAATGCCGTACCAAAAACGAGGGGGGGAGGGAGAATCGGGGAGCGGGGAGGGGAAGAGAAGGAGCCAGCTCTTTTAGAGTAAATGGAATATAATCAAATACAATGCATGTTCATTGATTGAATCCTGGTCTAAGGAAGTCAGGGGTCTTCTGGAGAAATTCGAGCTTGGATTACCAATTATCTTTAGTTAGATGTGAAAAATGGGATGATAATGTAGGAAAGTGTCCATAATTTAAAGACAATATGTTAGAAGACAGCAAGAAATCACCTTACTTTAAAACTCTTGAGCAGTAAACGAGGTATAGAAAGCGAAATGCAAATTATTAAATACAGAGGCCAGGCTTTAGGTATTCATTATACTAGTTTCTCTACATCTTTGGCGTTTTTCATCACAAAAACAGCCAGACAGAAAAATAAGAATGAAGTGTTGCTTCCTTCTCGTGAGAAATAAACCCATCTTTATCTTCCTCCAAAAGTGAAGTGCTAAGCACCGCATTGCTCAGAGAGGCACCAACCTGCGCGCCTTCGGCCCTCTGGCCGTGGATACTGAATAACCTGTCCCACCTGCTGCCCCGACCGCTAACGTACCCATGATTTGAAAGGTGGCCGTTCTGACGCTATTTGTGAGAGCGGTCGAATAAACGGCCCGCTCCGCGCCGAGCCGTCTGCAGACGGGAGCAAGGAAGGCCTCCCTAGCCTCGCTGGGACCCTCGGCGGCCGGCAGGGGCACCGAGGGGCAGGGCCCGCCCCAGCGCTGCGGGAGCCGGGCGGAGCTGGGGCGCGGCGCGGGCTGCACGTGCGGCGGCCTCCGCCCTCACCTGAGGGGGCGAGCGGCGTGGCCCCGAGGGGCGCAGGCGGCGAGTCGCGCGCCCGGGGGGTCCTCGCCGCAGGTGAGGCCGGCGAACCCGGCGGGACGGTTCCGCGTTTCCCGCGGGGGACGTCTGTTGGTCAGGAAAGGTGCAATTGTGTGGAGCTATTCCTGGTATGTCAGCGGCCCCGCCGCCGCGAGCCTAGAGGGGCGGGAGGGCCGGCGGGCGGAAGGGCGGGTGCGGGGCGCGTCCCTCCGGGCGGAGCCCGGCCCCTGCGGCGGCGCGGGAGCGGAGCTGGCCCCGCGCCACGGTCCCGCCGGACGTTGGCATCTCCCGGCCAGACTGCCCGGACCGTGCGACCGCAGCGGCAGCCGCCGGCCGGAGCCCCGGGAGCCGCCAAGTGGGTGGGGACGGAAGCGGCCGTCTGCGGCCCGGGCGGGCCGGGGCGGGGCCTCCGCCGGGAGGGGGCGGCGCGGCGCCGGGACTTTCGGGTCTGAACTGCGGTCCCGGCCGGTGCTGCGCGCTCTCTCCAGTCTGCTCCTTCGCCGCCCGCGCTTGCTCGGGGGTGCGTTTCAGGGGTTCTGAGAAAGCAAGGTCTACAAGTTTTATAGATTGGAAAACTTAAAACTGCATCAGCGCTGCAAAGGGAAAAAACAGCGGGAGTCTCGCGGCCGAGCCGAGCCCAGCACCGCAGCCTCCCCGGGCCGAGACGCGCGGGGACCTCCGTGCCACTCCAACCGCCTGGCCTCTCGCCCCAGTCATGGAAGGGGTAGAGGAGGCAGAAGCCGACTGCTCCGTAGCGTTCGCCGAGGCTCAGAGATGGGTAGAGGTGAGTGCCCTTTACTGCTCTTCTTTGCACAGGAGTTTGGGGTCTCGGGCCGGCGTCGCGCGGGGACCGCGCTCTGGCCCCCCTGTTTTTGGCCTCCTCCAGTGACCTTGCCGGAACGAAGGGGCGGCAGTTTTGAGGACTTTGTGAGTTCTGCGTCTCCTGCTTCTGAAAGCTCAAGCGTGGGTCCGCAGAGCCGCCCGGCGCCAGCCCGCCTGGCTAGGCGACCCCGCCTCTCCGAGGACCGGCCCTCCTGGCTCCGGTCGCCCGAGGTGCGGGTCGGTGGGCCAGCCGAGAGCGCTCGCGCGGCGCTGGCCCGGGGTCCTTGGATGCGTTTCCTGGGAGGGGCTGGAACTAAGATGCCCAACTGGTACCTGGAGAGCCGGGGTATTCAGTGTGGTGTGGGCGGGAAGCACAGGGTGGCGGCGGAGCAGCACACCTGGGGCGCACCTGGAGAAAGCCTTTACTACTCAGGGCCGCTCCGGCCCACGGAGTGAAGTTGTGGCTTGTCCTTCATGTTGGGCGTTGGTGACACCGAGATAGCCTGGGGTCACACACTGAAGAGAGGTTGTTTTCCCAGCTGTGCTTTCTAGACGAGATCTCCCCATCCCTTCTATCTACAGAGGAGTTAGGCTCGGCATCAACACTGGGGCTGGGATGCGTTGATGTATTGGAGGATAAAATGAGACTTATAGCCTGTGCACTCCTGAATAAAAGTGATGAATTTTTTGAGTACTGGGGGTTGAATCTGGGATCCTGGCATCTCTGAACTGAGCTACACCTCCAGCCTTGAAATGACTTTTAAAGCGAGGCCACAGAAGCCCTGTGTAAATCAGGCACAACTGCTAGTTAGAATATTGTTGACTTCTTCGGCCTCACAGTGTTTGTGGAGTTATTGATGCCACGTGTCAGTTTATTCAGCGTATAGTATTTAACAATTTGAATTAGGCTTAAAGATTATTCCATAAGAAAAATAACATTTTCAAAAATTCTGGAGCAAACAGCATTTAAAGGTGATTAATTTTTCGTTAAATACATAGGTATGTAGAGATAAGGAATGAACCTGGATTTCTAACACTGTGTGAAGGAATGGGAGGTGGGAATAGCATCGCCCACAGCAGGGAGGCCTAAGAAATGAGCTTTTGGTGTCCTTTTGGACTGAAACACTGAGCTGGCCCGGAGGTGACTTAGTAAGGTGTGAGGGGAGGGCAGGGGCAGTTGGGAAAAGGATAAACACTGTATTTTGAATTGAAATGAGAGTGGAAGAATTCTAACTATGTAGTTAAGAGAAATAGCTTTCCTCATTCATAACCTTTGAAAAGGCAAGGCTTCTAATTGTAACTTTCCATTAGTTGTGTGGGTTCTGCATTATTTTGGAAAACAAATTGGCTGTATTGTGTTTGAGCCTTGGAATGGAGGGAAGAAGCAGAGTATTTTTTGGGTCGTGCATAGTTCCTGTGTGGAGTTTGTATGAATTTGGATCATTTCACACTTTTTTTTTTAGCTTGCAGATTTTAGAAAATTAAGAATTCCTTGTTTGTCATAGCTTGCTCATAATTGTGTAGGGTTTCTGTGAGAAATTTGTATATAATGAACTCCTAAAAACATTGTGATATGCGATAGTCATCGTGGGTGATAAATATGCTCATCTTTCTACTTCCATACCATCCTATGTAAAGGTATTTATCAGTTATAATTTGACAACTCTGTATTGTGTTTTGCTTATTATTAGCATAAGGCTGAGTCCTTTCTAAAGGTGTAGTCATATCTTTTTAATATGCTTAGTGAAATTAAAAGTGTGAATGTTCTTCTCATGCTCCTTGGACTACTGACAAACAGTTATTGAAGACATATTCACAAATTCTTTGAGAATGCTTTGGGCACTTGAAATGACAGCAGTGGGTTCATTTTTCCAGTCTGTGTCCACATTTATCCCTCTTTTTTAGCTTTGTCATTACAACCAAAGTACATATTTTAAAATACTATTCTTGCCAAAAGAAGCAGAATGAATGACTCCCTCCTTGCACAGCCTATTAATTTTAAGAACTCGCAATTTGAAGATAAAATGTTGATTTCAAAGTATTTTATAAAGTGTTTTTGGAAAGTAAGGGAGATACAATGTAAAGATTTCTCTTATTCACTAATGTTCTTATATTTTGTTCTGTCATTTTTCCTCTATATTGCAGCATAAATGTGTCATTCATATATATATATATATGTATCTGCATATACTCTAATATATAATTTGTGGCCTTTATATATAATATTGTCTGGTACCTTTATTTATTTATTTATTTATTTATTTGTCTTTTTCGTTTTTATCGGTACCAGGGATTGAACTCACCACTGCCTGCTTGCAAGGCAGATGCTTATGCCGCTGAGCTAAATCCCCAGCCCCGGTACCTTTATTTTTAAGAGTACGAAAATTTATTGGGGATGGGGAAGAGGAATAGCTCCTGAGAGACAGGAGGGTCCTGAATGGGTTGCCTGATACCTTTATTTTCAGCTGCAGTTCTTAATATCCCAAATTCAAGAGACTGCTGACCTTGGAAAACTTTGATTGGTGATTAGACTCCAGTGTATCCTTGCTTGCCATTTGTGTTTTCCATCGGTGACTTGCACTTTTTTATTTTTAATGTTTTTCTGGTTCCTAGGATGGAACCTAGGGCATCAGGCATGTCAGGCATGTGATTTTAAATAGCTAATGTGTTGTGTTATTCTTGTAACCAAAGTTAAAATTTTAAGTTAATTTTTTGTTTGGAGTTGAGAAGAAAATGAAGTGTGAGGTCTGTGGTTTTTATACTGACAATTATTGTTCTATAGATTTTTCTTTCAGTGAACTTCAGATTGTATTTATGACTCATATATATGTGTATGTCTATGTATGGTTATATGCATATGTATGTGTATACGTATTTGGGAGGGCAGTGCTGGGGCCTGTTTTATGATAGACAGACAAGCACTCTGCCACTGAACTTCATCTACAGCAAATATGTGTGTGTGCGCGTGCACACACACACACACACACTCACAGATGACACAAAAATAAATACTAATTTGGTTTGTCTACTCAGAAATGGCCTTATAGTCAAAACAAATGTAGGAATGCTATCTTTTAAGATAACAGTGATATTGGATTACTATCAGGTTGGAAATGCTGTGTTTGGAATATTAATAGTGTAACAAGGCTGGTTTATGATTAAACATTATGTTAAAACCAACTTATGTAATAGTTTGAAGTTAGAGACCAAGGTGAAGCTTGATTCTAGCAAGGTCACGGAATGGGTGATGAAGCAGTAGAAAACACAGCCTGGACAGTATTAGCTGTCTTCTGCAGTACCTTTAATTATCTATGCCTAATAGTTGCCTCTGTCTCTGTTGGGACATCAGAAAGCTTTATAGTGAACAGATAAAATACTGATGAGATAAAAAACTGGGTAGACTGCCCATTGCATTGTTCTGTCAACAGTTTTCGGTCTGGGGGTTAATGGTAACTAGCCTGAGGTGTAAATACAGTCCTCTCTGTTACTGACACAGAGCAGGCTAACTTACTTCACCACCTTGCTACTCACCGGCACTCCCTTTATCTCTGGGTTGGAGTCTTTCACTGTCATTTTGCAGAAGGACCCAAAGGGTACCAACTTGAGTTCATTGCCAAACCTGGCACTACAGTGAGTTCTGCTTACTTCAGATCAGTCTGGTTGCCATGTGCCCCCATTTTTATCATTCAAAGATATACTGATCACTACCTTTAGTTTTTTTTGCTTGCTTTTGGTGCTAAAGATCTCCCCCCCCCCCCAGTACTGTGTACCCAGGGCTTTTACACTGAACTAAATCCCCAACCTTTTAAAAAATTTTTAAAAAAGTTTGAGACAGTCTTACTAAGTTACTATGCTGGGCTTTTAAAAGCTCTTGGCTTTCATGAATGTTTACTGTTGCTTTTCAGAAACACATAGAACCACTAAAATATTTAAAAATGACACTAAATTCATAGAAGCATTTTTGGTAATTAAATATAATGTTAGTTGTTAAACTGAATTAAATTGGGCCTAAAATTTCTTAATACATAGTGATTATAGTGTAATATAATATGTAGAGAAGCTACAACTTACGTTAGCAATAAGTTGTTGAGTCTCAGCCAACCACAAGTAGTCATCTATTTTAACTATGTTCAAATAGAACATTTGCCAGCAATGACCAGTTGGGCTGTTTCTGTCCCTCAGTTCTATTTTCTGTGTGTCACTTCCTTTTCTGTAGCTATGAATGTAATCTGCCCCTGAGGTAGATTGGTTCAGTGGAACATTCCGAACCATTTTTGGTTCAAACTACTGTAGTACATAAAGCCAGCAAACATTTGCAAAAATAGATTGTTTTAATTTTAACACAGTCAATAGATACTAAACTTTTTTCAATTTTTTTTAGAATATGTATCTAATAACTACATAATACTGCATTCCTTCTAGAGAGTTGGTACATGTGCATAGCACATTTTTTATTCATTTGCTTTGTTTTTTGAGACAGTGTCTTGCCATGTAGATCAAGCTGACCTGGAACTCACAGTATAGCCCAGGCTGGCTTCAAATTTGCAGTGATCTCCCTGCCTCATTCTCCTGAGATTGCCTGGGATTACAGGCATCTGCTACCCCAACTGGTGTATGTAACACATTTTAGTTCTTTCTTCATCCCTTTTCCCCTCCCTCCATCTCTTTTAGTCCCCTTCCCTTTTGCAGAAGATCTATCTCCCTGTTTCCTGTCATATAACTTTTATTTTGCTCTTTATTTATATTTTGAGTTTCTCATGTAAAAAAAAAAACTATGGAATATTTAGACTTTTGTGTCTGACTTATTTTATTTAACATAGTTTCAAGGTATATCCGTTTTCCTATAAATGACTCAAGTTTTTCCTTCTGTATGACAGAGTAGTACTCCATTGCATGTGAAAACACTTTCGTTATCTATTCATCTGTCAGTGGGCATATAGACTGCTTCCAAGATTGAGCTCT